AAAAAAAAAAAAGTAATTGGCTTCAAAAACAAAGGGGAAAGAAAAGGCATTCTGAGACGGATTTGAGTTCTAAAAAAGGACGCCTCCACCTTGGATGAATTTTATTCCTGGCAGTAATGAGGTTGGAATTCTGCCTTAAAACATCCTGGATTTTGAGACGTTGACATCGTCTTCATGGAGGCAAAATGGTTCCATTGCCACAGTGATTTCTCAAGAATAAAATCCCCAATGAGTAAATATCAGAGGAGAGTGGCTCGGAGACCCAAACTGCAGTGTCCTCCGGGCCATATTGAGATTTCACAGGAAAAATACCATTTACACACAATTGAACACATCTGCCCTTGTTCCTCCATTCTTTACCGTAAGCAGCAGCCTTGGGTGTCAGCACTGTGAGTATCAGTGACGCAAAGACAGTCACCTTTATCCCTTCCATTTAGATTCAAACTTGAGGCCCCAAAGACACTCATGCCTTCCGATGTAGGGGACAAAAATCGTCAAGCATGGAGACATTGGAAGCTGCAGGAGGTAAGCGCTGAGGGAGCAGCTTGTCTATTGAAGGGGAACAGGTAAGGGCCGCTGCTGACTGCCAAAGTGGAAATTCAAGTTCCCTGACCTTGAACAGCCCTCTGTTAGGGTCCAGGAGAAAAGCCGTTTCACTCACAAGGCACAGTCCAAACAGGGCTGTGAAAGCTGTGAAGGGCAGTAAAACATCTCCCTTGCTTCTGGGTCTAAAGTACCTGGTAGAAAACAGGCACAGACGCCTCTGCTGAGACCCATTAGCCTCAGATTTGAAGAGCAGAAGCTCTGTAGGTCCCAACAATTTTACTCCATGTTACTTATTTTTATCAGCAAGACAAACCTTAGGCTGAAGCCTCATTTATAGAGTAGCTTGAAGCAGAGCTCTGGCTGAGGGCGAGACACCTCCCCTGTAGCTCTGCCATACCCTGGCATGACGGTCTTTGGCATCTATAAGGAACCCTAGAAAACACTGCTCTCTGCTGGGCATAGTGGCTCACGCCTGTAATCCCAGCACTTTGGGAGGCTGAGGTGGGCAGATCACCTGAGGTCAGGAATTCAAGACCAGCCAGGCCAAGATGGTGAAACCCCCTCTCTAGTAAAAATACAAAATTAGCCAGGCAGGGTGGTGCGCACCTGCAATCCCAGCTACTCAGGAGGCTGAGGCAGGAGAATCACTTGAACCCGGGAGGTGGAGGTTGCAGTGAGCCGAGATGGTGCCATTGTACCATCTCAGCTCGGCAAAAAGAGAAAAACTCTGTCTCAAAAAAAAAAAAAAAATTAGCTGGGCATGCTGGCAGGCGCCTGTAATCCCAGTTATTTGGGAGGCTGAGGCAGGATAATCGCTTGAACTCGGGAGGCAGAGGTTGCAGCCAGCTGAGATCATGCCCCTGTACTCCAGCCTGGGTGACAGCATGAGACTCCAACTCAAGAAAGAAAAAGAAAACACTGCTCTCTATCACATGGGATGCTTGTTAAAATGCAGACTCCTGGGCTCCAGCCCAGACCCACTGGATAAGAATCTTGGGTGCCTGGTTCAGGAATCTGCATTCTTAGTACGTGGTCCAGATGATTCTCCTCCAGTCCGAAAAGCTGCACAGTGCCTCAAAAGTTAGAACCAACCAAAATGGTCCAGAGGGACTGAGAGGCCACAGCCCACGAATTCAGGGGCAAAGAACAGTCTCAGAGCCATTCCAGTGAGTGTCTGTGCCACCTCGTAGCTTTTGGGATTCTAAACAAGTACAAAATTGGAAAATATTTTACTGCATCTAGCCAAAAATCTTATACAGGCATGTAGCACATAATGACCCTTTAGTCAACGACAGACTGCATATATGATGGTGGTCCTACCATAGAACGGTGGTGGGACCTTTTTTATGTTTAGATACGTTGAGATGTACAAATACGTATCATTGTGGTACAATTGCCTTGTATTCAGTACAGTAATGTGCTGTATAAGTCTGTAGCCTGGGAGCAATAGGCTAAATGTATAGTAGGCTGTGCCATCTAGGTTTGTGTAATACACTCTATGATGTTCACACAATGACAAAATCGCCTAGCGACACACTTCTCTGAAAGCATCCCCGTCAAGTGATGGGACTGTATATGCGTCTCATCAAAACAACAACAGAAAACTCTAGGAAGTGGGGAGAAGGCAGTGTTGGAGAATGAGATGAACTTTCTTGGTCTCATTCTAAAAAAGTAAAAGTTTATTCCCTGTAATGACAGCTGTTAAAATGTCCCATTTCTTATCCCTCTGACTGGAAATGAACAACAAAAACATGGGAGAGAAAAGGATCATGAAGATCCTTCTTAGTGGGCAGCTCTGAAGAACCAGCAGATAAAGGGCTGGGGCATTAGAAGGAACCAAAATTCGAATGGAAAACCAGACAGGCTAAGTCACTGAGCTCGGGCTGCTTAGGCACCAGAGGAGGATCAGTAACCACAAATGGCAGATCCAGCAATGGTTCATCATGAACTGCAGGTACCTTGTGAAAGCCATAAAGCACAAGGAACCAAAAAGCACACACCACCTGGGCCTCATTTCCACACCTGGAAGATGAGGGGGTTCCCTGGGTACTCTCCAACTTGAGGAATCCACGATTTCCACACCACTGTCCAATATCACTGGATATGAAGACTGCAGGGAGGTAAGGGCTCCAGTCTAGAAGATACGACTCGATTCGAGCGCCCACAACTTGCTTTCTCTGCCTTGTCTAAGACAGAGCTGGCTCAATGATTTCCAAAGACCATCTGTGGCCAGGGTAGGTCCAGAATCTCCGGCAGCAGGGGCTTGCGGACAGCCACCTGATGGGACAGGGTGCTGCGGCTGAAGCTGCATTTGTAGCAGCAATTTATAATAGGGGGAGAAAAGGCCAAATGTCTATTGGGTCAACATTCATGGCTCTTGCTAATATTTCTAGCTATCCTTTCCTTCCAGGCATGGGCAGGACTGTCCATCCCCACTGCTTTTGGGTAAGACAGAAACATGGAACCTGCTTTGCCCAATAAAATGGGATTGGAAGGGATTGAGTTGCTTCCAGGGGGAAGGCACTTGAAAGGGGAGGTGGGAATTGATGGGCTTTCTCCTCTCCTGCAGCAACAATGATGGAAGCACAGGTCGCTATGGGAGCACTGCAGGATAACAGAGCCTGGAGGGCCAAGCACAGTGGACACCTGCCTAGAGAGCCATTCAGGTCCACAGAGAACTTTGTGTGATCCAGAACAAAAATATTGGTGTGTCAAGGTACTGAGATTTGAGGGTTTGTTACTGAAGCGTAACTTAAACCATTCTGACTCATATGGTCTATATCAAAGAGCGGGAATGTCCGGGGTGGAGGGAGGCTCTACTTGTCCCTGTGCTGTGTGTCTAGTGAGTCACCA